AAAAAAAAAAAAAAAAAAAAAAAAAAAAACCAAAAAAAAAAAATCAAACACCCCCCCCCCAAAAAAAAAAAAAAAAAAAAAAAAAAAAAAAAAAAAAAAAAAACTCCCTTTCCCTCCCTCCCTCTTTAGAAAAAATCCTTAACTATCGGGTATCCATTTATCTAAAAAGTCTTTTCTTAACTCTGCCCTTTCCCTTTCTTCTTCACCATCCAACCCTAGGACTAGCTGTTCCACTACCACCTCCTCCTCCTCCCCCTTCCCCACCCCCAATAACACTCCCAGCAACGCTCGGATTATTGCTATTCCCAGCAGCAGCAAAACTCTGATCAATTCTAAAAATCCAATCCAGCTTGTCCCTCTCGCTCCTGGCAGCAAATAGCCAAGTGTTATCCGTCCCGTAAATGGCAAACACTCCAGCCTGCAGCCGTTCACTCAGCCTCGTAATACCGCCGCCGCCGCCTCCAGAATTTGAGGACGCTGGGCTCCACATGGCACTTAATAACCCAGCCGCCCCGGCAACAACAGCAGAAGAAGACGATCTCGATCTCGCTCTAGTAGACGAAGCTGGCGTGGTAGTTCCGTTGCCGTTTGTCGCAGTATTTGAAGAATGATAATCATTACTGTGATCGAGTCCATAATCATGATTAGAATTCAACAGCCCCAAAATACCCGGCTGGCTGTCGACCCTGGCGTTCCGCAGACTGACGATAGCCACCTCTTCCCCGTCCCCGACGTTATGAATGTGCAGGTACGGCCTTCTCAGCTCGACAAACCGCTTTACCCATTTGGTGGAATCCGCGTTGGGAACTAAGAGATAACCGCCCTTTAGCACACTAGGATTTTTGGGCACCCTGATGACAGTCGCCACGAACGCAGGTGCAGTTGTGTCAAACCCTGAAGACACACCATCCTCTGGCGGATCGGTATTTTCAGGAGAGAGAAACTTCATTATCGAGTCTGGGTAGCGCTGCCAGAGCTTGAGGCACTTATTAAGCAGAGCTAGTTGGTGGTCGGTGTACTCAGACTCGGGGGGGGTAAGAGGCGTCTCTTCTTCAGAGTTCGGGAGCATAGGAGTCGCATCCTTGTCAGATCCTTCCTCTACCACCGCCGGCTGAGACAAATCTTGAGAGGAAGCAGCTTCTGAACCGTCGGGAGTATCTTTCAAGAGTTCTGCAATGGAGTCTGTATCACTGTTGATAGGAGGAGGAGGCAAGTCTTCATCGTCAGCCCCGTTGACACCATTAGCATGGCCATTAACCTCGTCTTCGTAGCCAATCTGCCTCAAAAAGCCGTGAACGGCAGCGAGTTCGGACATTATCAACTTCTTCTTTCTCGAGGAAATGAAATCTGCCACCAGCGAGACGCCGCGCGGTGTCCATGCGGTAAGCAGCTCCTCACCCTTGACGTAGTCATGCTGACTATTCATCCTCCACAAATCGCCGGCCCGCTTGATTGGCGCAGGCCGCATCTGCAAGGTGAATATGGCGGTAGAAGAGTGAACAATCCTTACGTTCTGCCATAGCGAAGAAAACATGGACGTTTGTCGGATAAAGGATCGTGACATGATCTGAACGCAAGGCTTCATGGAGAATTTCATTGGCTCGGCAAGCTTTTCGGAACTGATCTCCCAGGAAACCGTCAGCTGCACCCGATACTTGTCTGCAGTTACCCGGTCAAGCAGCAGGGAGTTATGCAGACTAGAATCCCACTGGCCAACTATCGTGACACTTCGGGTGCCGTTTGCATTCGTTCGGAACACAGGTTTGGACGCCAGTTTTAATGGCAGATCCGGACTGGATGATCCCATGTCTGGAGACTTGCCTGCGCTGTCCAGAAGCTGCACCTTTCCGACGCGCATAACGCCGACATCATCCCAGGGGAGTGCGTCTCCTGAGCTGTGGGTAAGCGTAATGGAAATTCGCCGTTGGAGACCCTGGTGAAGCTGGAAGGTGCCGCTGTCAAGCTCACTGGTCTGGGCAACTTCAACTGGAACATAATCGCCATCTTCGTTCATCTCGAGGATCTGAGCACGAGCAAGGAGATCATGTTTCTCTTCGGTAAAGAAATGGGACTCGCTAATCCTTGGAGCCTTGGGCTTGTTTTGAGAAATTGGAACTGCGTCTCTCATGTCATCCCAGCTGAGAAGCTTGTCAAGGTGCATGGCAGATACCTTGGCAAAGATGGCCACCCTGAGTGTTGTCTCGGGAGTGGCAAACAGCGGAACGCTCATGCTATGAACGCTCTCAAAGCGAATAGGCCCCTCGTCAAAGTCCTTGATCATCTGAGTCGTGGTGATTCCGTCCTCCGAGATGCCAGGGATAAAGAGCTGCGCATGCACCTCGGTGCCTTCCCGCTCAGCAAAGCCCACCATTTCGTGCATGACAATGTTAAACTTTAGCGTATTGGTTGGGGCACGCGCACTGGATGGCTCCAGCGCCAGCTTGATGATGCCGATGGCGTGGTTTGTGTGTGGGGAAAAGACATCAAGGGTAAAGTCCTGAACTCGACTCTCAAAGACTGCCTTCAGAGGGACATCGACCTCGCCGACCAGTGTATACTGCGGCATGCATTGTTCTATGAACGGATTGTCAAGACTTAAATGTTGAGCGTATTCAGGTTGGTCCAGATACTGATACATCTGGCGCATCTGCCTAACTCGGTCATGTAGCTTTTCAATGCTCCAGAGATGAACGACACCGTGCTTGTAGTCGATGACCCGGACACCGATGCATGGCTTCGGTGCCTCTTCGAGGGGGATGTCCTCTCCTTCGCCGGTCAGCCCGTTAAGGACCATATCGTAGGATGAACACAGGATGTGACCAACATCAACCACTGTGAACTGAAAGACGACGTGCTCGTCAAGTTCGTGGCTCATGATCTGGGCCTCCTTAAGAGTGGCGGCATGTTGTAGCACGTCCTCAGCCATCTGCACATAATGACGGCTTCTCCAGTGTTTGACGGCTACTTTTGCTCGCTCAATCTCTTCCTCTGAAAGCTTGGGTTTGGGCTTGGGTCGTTTGAGAGGATCAAGCTTCTCAATCTTCTTTTCAAACTCTTGACGTTGAACCTCGAGCTGCTTCTGCATGTCGGCTTTGAGTTGGATCAAAGTCTCCTCCATCCTGGCCTTCTCCTGTTTGATCTCTTCAACCTCAACATTTGCAGCCTCGGCGCTCTTGAGCTGACCCCGGTACTCCTCCTTCTGCTTATCCAACTGAATTTGCATCTCCTCACGGATCTCACGTAACTTGTCCTCCGTCTCGCCCTGCTTAGGGGTGGAAGGCATGGTCAAGGCAGTATCAAGAGAGAAGTTGTCGATAGTGCCGGTCGACATGTACTTCTCCCTGATAGGGTATGATGCCATTGACTCCATATCTTCGTCACCCTCCCGAACGTTGACACGCTCGGCTCGGGCTCGCTGGACCTCTTCGAACAAGGCATTTAGCTCCTCGTCTGACAAGCTGGCAAAGTTTTGATCAGTTCCAAGAATGGCACCGGCGGCTTCCCTGCGAGCAAAAGACCAGTCCGACTCTCTCGAATTACGGGCAAATGGAGACGGCGAATCTGGCCGGCTACCACCAAACTCCGAGACCACGGTGCTAAGGTTTCGGTCGTGGCCAGGTCTTGTCGGAGTGGGTGATGTATTTCTCTCCAGTGCTTGTAGCTGACTAGCTGTGACTGATTGCCGCAAAAGACTCAGTTCTGCACGTTCGGCTCGCTCTGCCTTGGCCTCCAGTGGATGGTTAAATCTGAATATGTGAAAGTCACCAAGAATGATACGGTAGCCTGAGTGCAATTGATAGGGCTCTGTAACACGCTTGCCGTTGACCATGACTGCGGCACCCTCTTTAGGGATGACGGTGACTGTTCCGTCGGCTGCGTTTTCAAAGACGCAGTGTTCGTGGAGAATGCGTGACCCGTTTAAACGAATATTTGCTTGGTGATCAGCGTTCGACTCGCCATTACCGACCGTCGTGATACCAGGCTTCAAATTGTAAACGAGAC